CCCTGAAGCCATATTATCTCTTTGTTGGCTTCAGTCACTGCTACATACTCAGCTTCTGTAGTGGATAGAGTGACAATCTTTTATATCTGTGATATCCAACTAACAGCTGTAATTCCGACAGTGAATACATAGTCGGTAGTGCTTCTTCGGTGATCGACTTCACCTCCAAAGTCTGCATCTACGTACCCTTGCATTTCTACCTCTCCCTTACCAAAGTGCAAACACTTCTGTGTGGTGTCTCGTAGATATCTCAGAATCTACTTGACAACTTCCCAATGAGCTTTTCCTAGATTCGACATAAACCGGCTGACCACTCCCACTGCATGGCCAATGTATGGTCTAGTGCAAACCATTGCGTACATCAAATTTTCAATGACTGAGTCGTAAGGAACCTTAGTCATACTCTCTTTCTCTTCTCCATCTGAGAAGACTGATCCTTTGACAGGCGAAAGTGACTAGCCAAGGGTGTGCTCACTGGCTTGGCGTCGCCCATATTGAATCTCTACAAAACACGGTTGATGTACTCTATCTGAGATAACTACAAGAGACCTCTCTTCTTATCTCTCGTGATTTGCATTCTAAGGATCTTCTTTGCTGGACCCAAGTCTTTCATGTCAAACTCCTTTGACAACTGCTACTTCAAACTCTTGATATCCTCCATATCTGCACCTGCAACCAACATATCATCAACATATAGCAGTAAGATGATATAACTGGACTGATATCTTTTAAAATAACAACACTGATCAGTGTTGCACTTCTGGAAATCTTCCTTGTGCATGAAGTCAAACTTTTCGTACCACTGTATTAGGGCTTGTTTCAGGCCATACAAGCTCTTCTTGAGTCTGCACACCAGGTTCTTCTTCTTTTCTTCTGAGAAACCTTCTTGTTGGTGCATGTATATCTTCTCTTTTAGATCTCCATGAAGAAACATAGTCTTTACGTCCAATTGCTCGAGATGAAGATATTCAATAGCTACAATACTCATCACTGTTCTGATAGTATTAAGCTTCACTACGGGAGTAAAAATATCGGTGTAGTCAATTCCTTCCTTCTGCTGGAATCCTTTGATAACTAGCTGGGCTTTATATCTTCTGGAGCCATCATGCTCCTCTTTTACCCGGTACACCCATTTGTTATGGAGTGCCTTCTTATCCGTTGGCAACACAGCTAGTTCTCATGTCTGGTTTGAGATGAGAGACTTTATCTCATCTTTCATGGCAAGCTCCCACTTTCTCGCATCTCCACTCTGACAAGCTTCATCATAGCTTTCAGGCTCCCCTCCATCTGTCAACAACAGATAGTTCATATACTCCTGTTGGGCACATGAAGCCGAGAAGATCTTCTTAATATCGGAGCTAGTACGTCGGGCTCATGTGCACCGTTCTGTCCAACAGGCTCTTCTGGCTGAGGATCTTCTGCATTGGGTTCTTCCGAGAGGTTACTCGGGACATCATCTGCATCTACAAATGTTGGATCGCTCTCTGAGTCATCTGTCTTGTGCATGTCCTTGTACATTACCTTCTCGTTGAATATCACATCTCTGCTCCTGATCACCTTTTTGTTTTCGTTGTCCCAAATGCGGTAGCCGAACTCATCTTCACCATACCCGATGAAAGTGCATTTCGTTGACTTGGGATCAAGCTTATTACTGTCTTGATCACTAATATGCACATAAGCTACACAACCAAAAACTTTAAGATGTGAGAGTTTTACCTCCTTTTCGTACCATACCTCTTCTGGTATTCTGTGCTCCAATGGAACCGATGGACCTCGGTTGATCAAGTAAGCTGCTGTGTTGACTGCTTCTGTCCAAAACTGCTTCGGTAGGCCTGACTGTATCCGAATGCTTCTGTCTCTCTATCAACGTTCAGTTCATCCGCTCAGCCACACCATTATGCTAAGGCGTGCCGGGCACGGTTCTCTCCATTCTGATCCTGTGCTCATAGCAGAACTTCTTGAATCCGGTGTCTTCATACTCACCATCATTGTCGGTTCTGAGCTTCTTTATTCTCAGACCAATCTCATTCTCGGTCATGGCTTTTCATCTCCTGAAAGCATCAAATACTTCTGACTTATGCTTCAAAAAGTAGACTCACACTTTCCAAAAGTGATCATCGATAAGTCACTAAGTAGTGTTTTCCACCAATGGACATGATGGTGGTTGGTCTCTAAACATCTGAGTGAACGAGCTCTAGTTTCTCATTCCTGGGGGTTTTGCCACTTGTCTGAAAGCTGACTTTCTTCTGCTTTTCAAGTATGCATTATTCACACATGTCCATCTCCACTGACTGCAGTCCTTAGAGTTTTCCCTTTGTGTGCATGATTTTCATCACCTTCTCACTCATATGACCGAGTCTCTAGTGTCACAGCTTTGAAGTCTCATTGCCTGCTGCAACTGAGATCAAACAACGTGCACCTGCTATTATATACTGGGTACCAGTCTTCTTGCCTCGGACAATCATTATTGCGCCCGTTGAGATCTTCCAATCATCTCCATGGAAGGTCGTAGTGTATCCTTCGTCAGCCAACTGGCCTACGAATATTAAGTTCTTTCTCAGATCGGGAAGTGTGATATCTTTCTGCTCCCATACTGACCCGTTCAACTTAATATTCACTATACCTTTGCCCACAATAGCACACGGTTGATTATCACCTATGTATACATATCCAAGATTTCCAGGAACATACTTATCGAAGAATTCTTTCTGAGAAGTAGCATGGAACGACGCTCCTGAATCTAACACTCAAGATTCCTCTTTGCTCTCCAAAGAGCATATCAATACGTCGTCTCCTCCTGAGATGGAAGTGACATTCACCTTTGCCTTTACCTCATTCTCCTTCTGTGCACTCTTGAACTGATTCTTGTAATGTCCGGTCTTTCCATAATTCCAACACTCGATAGACTTTGAGGTTGCTTGGATTCCTTGACTTATGCCTCATGTCCTTTGATCTATCTCTGTAGTTTGATTTGCCTCGTTCGTTCCTTCTGGTTGAATTTCTACCTTTTGACTCTGTATGCAATACTGAAGAGGTTGTAGCTTCACTCGACTCTCTTCGTCGGATCTCGTCACCAAGAACCAGATCACGAACGTCATTGAACTTTAACTTGTTGCTTCCCGATGAGCTACTCACAGTCGTAACTATAGCGTTCTAGCTTTCTGATAGGGAAGACAAAAAGATCAGCGCTTGAACTACCTCATCAAACTTAATTTCAACTGAACTCGATTGGGTTGTGACCGTGTTGAGTTCATTGAGGTGTTGTGCAACTGACGCGCCTTTCGCCATTCTTAGATTGAATAACCGCTTTATCAAATGAACTTTGTTCGCGGCTAATGGCTTCGCATACATATTTGAGAGTGCTGTCATAAGACCCGCCGTGATCTTTTCCTTTGTAATATTGAACGCAACATTACGAGTCAACGTCAATCTGATAACTCAGAGGGCTTGTATGTCTAGAATGTTCCACTCATCTTCCTTCATAGAATTTGGCTTCTTCCCCGAGAGGGGTTAATACAGATTTTTCTGATACAAATAATCCTCTATCTGTATTTTTCAGAATCCAAAATTTGTTCCATCAAACTTCTCTAATCTCACTTTTCTTTCATTTGCGGCCATCGTTCCCACTTAATCTGACTTCCTCTAAATTATTTCAGGCTCTAATACTAGTTGTTAGGAAAAACCTAGGGCTATACTAAACCCCTTTAACAGCAGAAACACGGTATAGAGAAAAGTACATCAAGATTTACGAGGTTTGACAAACTTGCCTACGTCCTCGGGAGCCACACAATTAATTTCTTATTGGTTTGAGATCTCTCAATAAATGCTAATTATTACTGTAGTTATAGTAATAAAATCCCCTTCTTAAATACCCCCTTTAATTTCTCCCTCAAATAAATTTCCCCTCAATAAATTCCCTCTTCTTAATTCCTCCCTCAAAAACATGAGCTGGAGGGGAAAAAACAGAGAAGAAGAGAAGAAAGGGGGAGCCGCCGCTAGGGGGTTGGAAACGCGAGGAGAGAGAGAAGAAGCCTTGGGGTTTCCCTTTTATAGAGAAACCCTAGCGACAGGTTGGCGACAGCCTGTCGCCGAAGCTCGCCTGCAACGCTCGAGCTCGAGCTTACCTGCAGAGCTCGAGCTCGAGCTCGCCTGCAGAGCTTGAGCTCGAGCTCGCCTGTAAAGTCCCTAAGCTCGCCTGAAGATCTTCGATCTCGCCTGCCCTCGTCGCTCTCTCGAGCTCGCTTGAACCAATTCTCGAGCTCGCCTGCAACAAGCCGAAATCGCCTCGACCTCACCTGGAGTGGAGCTCGCCCGCATTCGCCTGAAGCACGAGCGCTCGAGCTCTTCGTCGACCTCGCTAGAAGTTCGCCTCGAGCTTGCCGTCGACCTCGCCTGCGGAGGTTTGATTCTTCACCCAAATCCAACAACAATGGCTGCAAATACTTACATTTCGCGACAGCTAGTAGTTGCTGCAAATCATAATACATGGCTACAGCTACACCTGCACTGAGATGTGAGAATGTGTGGTGTTTGTTGCATGCAACATTATGTTATAATTTGTGACATGTCCTGGTTACTATAATTTCTTGCATTTCACTGCACCTGTGATACATTAGTTGCAGGTCATTGCTAATATGTCTTGCCCTATTTGTATCCAACAGTGTATTTCAAAAACCTATCATATCAAGGATCACCAAAGAAAACTATAAGCAAAGTCTAGTGCTCAAACAACAGTTTATTATTTCTGAATAATTTGTCATAAAAAAGAGATGGATCGAAGTAATTCAAGTCACGATCAAGTTCATTCAAAATTACAAAAACTCAATTAAGCCATACAAGAACTTCAAACACAAATCGCCTAGAGTCTCAAGCATTGACTGATTAATAGTACAGTCTTCATCGAAAAGGGAGTTGCATTATCCAGATCTTCATCTTGCTGCATCCAAATCAGAACTAATTTGAGATGGACAATAATGAATGGACGATTTGAACATTTAAAATCAATATATACTTGCCATAGATGACTACGGCCTTTTAAATTATTGATCAAAGAATATCCTAGTAAAACAGAAGTCAACAAATATAGTTCAAATTTCTAACCGATCTAACTGTCGAGTTATACACACATTTCGAGCATAGCTATAGCCACATAACTCGAAGTCTAAAATGCAGTAGCCACTACAAAGTGAATTCTAAACCAAGTGTTTTGCGTAAACAAAAGGTAGAACAAAATGTTAATCTGACCCACTAAAAGATAAGAAAATAAAGCAGCAACAATATTTAAGGATTGACATCATCATCATCTGAGCGACTTGTAGTCTTCAAATCTTCTCCTTCCTAACTTTCACCCTCCAAATCTTCTTCTTCCCGTAGCAAAATGAGAACATATCTTAATATTATCTGACATATATTAATATTATCTGAAAACATAAAAAAAAAAAGAGTTACAGACTGATAAGTAGAAGAAGAAAGATATAGGTGCAGCTGGAAATGAGGAGGTGAATCATTCTCTTTTTGTACATAGTCAAGAGATAAACAGACTATAGCTATTTGAAGCTATTACTATTGAACTACTACAAAGCTACAAATAGTCAGTTTAGAGGGGTGACAAAAGTCAAAAAGTTTGAAGTTAGAATAATATTATTGTTACCTAGCCCCAAATTTATTTGTCATATCTTATATTTGTTGTGGATAACATTGTTGAAGCCTGAAGCTATATTAGTATCTTGCATATGTACGAGCCATACTTAAAACTGAAGCCTAAAAGCAAGTGCATGTTGCTTATATTCAGCCAACACCAAAACTGAAACGATAAACCAAAAAACTCAACCTCAACGAAACTACTTGTTGTAAGTACCCTACCAAAATCAAATCTGAAACAGTAAAATCGAAGAATATAAAAAAAAATCTAATCATGATACAACAAGCCATGAATATGTCAGATACTTCCGCATCAATAGTATGTAAACATTCTCTTCGCCCATTATTGAATAACAAACCAAATGTATAGCAAGCTAGAAGCATGTCCAGACTCATTCTTGAATAGAAGACCGAATGTATAGCACGAACCAAAAACTACAAACTAAATGGTTTGTGCATTAGTTTATCTTGCATCAGATTTCTTTATTTTTATTTGGTTATAGCAAACATCTAAATTTAGCATCAGTATGACTTTCATTCACACAATAAGAGGGCATATATGCAAACAAAACCCAAAAAGTAAATAAAGTTCGAGAATTTACCTCTTCTAAATCATGTGGACTATCGACTGTTGTCAACAATGGAGGCCCGTCTAGTGTTATTTTCCTAGAGCACCAGTAGCATCTTTAAATAAACTAGAACTAAAAATATCAGGGACATTAATATCTTTCAATTGTTTTCCTTCATGAATTTGCAAGATCATCATCTGCCAACCATTAATCATCCCTTCTCTCAACTCAGCTCATATCTCAACTCGCATCTCAGCTTGCATCTCAGCTATTTTGCCACTGTAATGTGTTCATAAATCAGAATGCCCCCTCAACTGCGTTGGATTAACTCCCTTTCCATGAAGTGGTACACGCCCAGATCTTGGTTTCACAAAGTCTCTTCAATGCATTATTCTGAATTTCCTCTGACTGGTCGGATCTTAAAAGGTCAACATCTGGCTGAGCATGTTAGATAATCAGATTAGAGTAGTAAAATGAATAAATTTTTATTATCTAGTTGAAAAATCCATGAGGACATATTTTTAGTTTTGACTTACCATCAACCACCATTGTTCCATCTTTGCCTGTACAAGATTTTGAAAGACATTTCCACTTTGGATGGGTCACATCCTTTACTTTTCTTCTATTGACATGCAGACAAATAAAAGCAGAAATGTTAAGATAGTATTATGTACTTTGATTACTGATGCAACAATAATATGAAACTTAGAACAAAATCTAATAGCTTAGAGGCAGAGAAGAACACGTCTCTCCATATAAGTAGAGAGGAATTACTTGTAACCAATGATTTTTCAAGGGAAGGAGTGAAAAATAAAGCAACGGCTAAATGCAATGTAAAAATTTAACTTGTCTCACCATCTCAGCTCTTACTCGAGCAAAGCTCTTTGATCCCATACGGTGCATATTTTTTTTAGCGTCACAGACTCTTCTTACCCCTTTCACTACGTGCCTATATAAAATCACAGGTGTAATAATCATTAAAAATAATCTTTAGCTATAACATAACCAAAAAGCTCAAAAATCTACCATATATAAATCATACCTTAATCTCTAGCTATAACATAACCAAAAAGCTCAAAAAATCTCAACATATATAAATCATACCTTTCCTTCAGGCGAGCTCCAGAACCTGATAAGAGTTTCTCATTGCTCCTTTGGTATTTTTTTAGGTTTATTACTCAGCCGAGCTGCCAAAGTCGTCTTGGTGTTGAAATGTTCTCACTTCATTCTACTTTTGAAGTTTCTCCACAAACTTCCAATAGAACACCCAAGATTGGCCACGTTCATCAATAACAAACTTTTTCTATAGCATTTAAGTGTAAGAAAATCAACATATGCAGGAACCAATAAGATATTAAATAAATTTATGGTCAAGGCATGCATACATTGACCATATTCCACATATCAACTTTATTCTTAATTGGGACATCAGTCCATTCTAAATAAGTGAAAGGAGTTAAGTGCGCATTGCAAGCCAAGGTTTCCAAGTATGAACTTTGATGCTTTGCATTCTCTTCCCCAACTGGTTCTCCATGTTCGTTCAATGTAATATGTTTCCTCTCTTCTTCACTTATTCCAGTGAGATTGATACACTTAGTGATTCCTCTAGTCTTCTTCTTAGCAAGACCTATTTCATAGAAAAACAAAAGAAAAACAATATAATCACTAATTAAAATAGAAAACTATGTAAATAGAATCTAACCATTCAACAACTGTATATTGGGCATTCTAATTAGCATCCCTTCATATCAACATAGAGTCTAGAATATAAATTTACTTCAAATATTGCAAGGCCTCCTGTCATCCAATCTAATGCACATTTCCACCAGTATACTGTTGGTGTACATGTGGTGATTGCATCAGTACTTTGACATGGATGTGTAGATGCATAAGGACGCTTAGATTGCAGAGTTGTTTGTATATCACTCATAGATGAGAGAATTACCTATAATTGCAGGTTTCAAATATAACTCACATCAAGATTTGTAGTTTGGTTATGAGCTCTTTCTTGAACATCAAATCATATGTCCTCAATATTCAAGGAAAGTTTGAACATGCATGATAAAGTTTTATGAGAAAATTTTGATCAAGGAGATGTATGTTTGCTAAAAAAGATTTCTCAAAAAATTTTGCTAAGAGATAAATTTACTCAAAAAAGCCAATGATTCAACGTTTAATAAAAGAGCACTAATCACTTATTGAAAAACAAATATTTACCAGTAGCGTTTCCAACTTCATTTGTTAGAGCAACTCGCGGTCCATTATCAGCAGAGGTTTGCTGCACTACCAACTCCACTTGTGTTCGATCTGTTTCATTTGTTGGAACACAATCTTGTGCTTGACCTTCATTTGTCATACAATCAGATATTTCTTCTAGAGTTCGTCTACTTCTCCTCCGATTGCCTGCAATTTGATGTTGCTGAATCAAGTTAGCAAGTTGGCAATCTACAATCTTTGGAGCTGACGCATGTGGCCATGGAGAGTGAGGTGGGTGACTGAAATTTGAAGGCTGAGAACAAGCTTGACTAGTGGCTATTGCTTGAGAATATAAGGCTTGACTAGAGTTCGAGTGCTGAAAGTAAGCTTCACTAGGGCTTGTTGGCTGAGAATGAGCTTGGCTAGGCTGCATTGATTGTTCTCTAAGATCCTCATTCATTGTTTTGGGTGCATTAAGTATCCTCGTTCTTTTCGAAGCTTGAATTTGCTGACATAAATAAACAAAGAAGAAAATTAGCTTCGAGTAAAATGATCATTAATAGGTTACCAAGCTAGAAGACTTAGTTATTGTTTACCTTGAATTTGTGGGATGAAAAATCTTGGCCAGGAAGATCTTCATCACTAACACAATTTTGAAGTAGCTGACTAGAATTTGAAGAGTGAGAATAAGATTCACTAATGGCTACCTGGAGTTGACGACTAGAGTTTGAAGGCTCAGAATAAGCTTGACTAGCGGCTACTTCTTGAGATTGGAAGGCTTGAATAGGGTTTAATTTCAGAGAATAAGCTTTGCTAGGGGTTGTTAGCTGAGAATGAGCTCGGCTAGGATGCGTTGATTCTCCTGTAAGATACTCATCCATAGTTTTAAGTGCACTAAGCTTCCTTTTTTTTGCAGTTGGAAGTTGCTAACCATAAATAAACAAAAAAAAAATTAACCTAGAGTAAAATGAGCATTAAGAGATTAACAAGCTCAAAGACTAACTGATTGTTTACCTTGATTTTATGGGATGAAAAGTCTTGGCTAGGAAGATCTTCATTTGCAACACAATTTTCCTCATTATAATCACTATCACAATCAACCTCATCTTCTTCTGGGACATAAGCCACATCACTATCATCAACATTGCTCGTGATTGTTTTCTTTTTTAACGATCTATTATTCATGTTCATTAACTTGATCTTGGACAATTCCAATTTTTCTAATTCTGCGTTGTTGGCAGCAATGTTCGAGAGTCTTAATTTCTCATAGGGGACCAATTTTTGGCCATCAATCACTTTACTCATTGTCCCTAATAATCAATGAAAGAAATAAGCTAGTTAGTGTTGCATAAAAAAGGAATAAATACCACAAATATATAAACTACAATAACAACCCAATGTTGACTTAATCTTGTGCATCAATAACTCCTCAATAAAATTTAAACACATCAACCATTTCTAGGTAGGTTATGAAAGTTTAGACAGAACCGAAAAGTAATTTCTAAATCAATTAGCAAACCTAAAAGTAATCATCTTTCATTCACTAGTAATTCAAAGTGTTTACAATGAATGTAAATGATGAAAACAATCAACTAATTAGAAGTACATAAAAGATAACAAACAATAAAATTACTATCCGGTGGCTAACCTGGAGTCATCTTCTTCCATTAAATACAAATCCCTTAGAGTTAACTTGATAACACTGTAGAGATTTTCATTCATTGAATCTTGAATATAAAACACTTGTTGCACTTGAGATGCAAACACAAAGGGATCATTTTTGTATACTGGTTTTGTGAAATCAACAATTGGAAGATTATATCCATCTCATTTCATCAAACCACTCACATTTAAATAATGTCATGCTAAAATGCCCATAATAATTAAGCTCAAGGATATCTGTCAAGACTCCGTAGTAGGTAACTTCTCCATCCACCGGGTTTTGATCCCTAGAACTTGAAAAGCTTCCTGTTAGTGAAGTCATGACAATACCACTATTTTGAGTTCGTTTTCTAATATCATGTTCTTTTATGTGAAACCTGAAGCCATTTATAACAAATCCGATACACTTTTTTACTGATTCAGGCCCACGAGATAGCCACTTAGTATCTTCAGGTACCTCTTCCCTCCTGATGCGGCCTTCAAATCATACATGAAATTCTAAACTATGACCCTGTGCTCTAGCCCATGCTGTTATTTTTCTCCTTTTAGGTTGTCTTTCAATCAACTCTTTATGTTCACTACAAAAATTAAGTCATAATTTAGGCTTCAAAATATATAATTTTAAAACTTTCAAAATGTAAAGGAAATTACTCTCTCCAAATAGGGCTTAATGTGACTGCAATTAAATAGCACATATCGGTGTGCAATCCAAGTCTCATCATCCAGACCAACCACTTGAGTTTTTCCCAAAGAATGGCCTATTTTAAGAAAAAGGGAAGGTCCTTGAACTTGTGCACTAACACTATCGGCATTTCTAGCTGTCCGATTCAATCGTGTATCCACATTTTCGTTTAGATATCTTGAACAGAATGTTAGACATTCATTTGCTAGAAATCCTTCAGCAATGGAACCTTCATGCAAGTCATCCATCTCTTATCCATTATGTATGCAAAGAAGAACCACTGAAATAAAGTTGGAAAAGAAAACGCTTTAGTCCAATATAAAATTAAAACAATTTAAAGCTCGAGTCAATCAATAACATCTTTCTAGACACATATAATTAGCTTGATTAAAAAAAGATTATAATGTTAAACTAGGACAAATTCTAGTGTAGCTAAAAAGCTTGATGAGACTCTGTGAATATAGAATATGTAAGTTAAACTTCTCTGAACCAGAAACACAGCTCTGAAACTCTATTTCAGGCCTAGAACACAGAATTCCCATGTTTCAAACCAGAAACACATAGACTGTGTTTGAGGTTATGTCACCCAAATTATGATTTTCTATGCTAAACTTTCAAACCACTAGGCAACCTCCCAGTTCACAACTAATTGAAGTCAATTAGCCGTGCATTTTATTATTCATGAAGATGCTAACTGCGAATGAGCAATAAATGACTATAAAACAATTAAAGAAGCTCTAAAATTTTCAAATCACAAAAAACCAACATGTCATACTGAAGATTGAGAATGCACATGCTACATGATACTTGGCCATTATGATAGACTCATCATTAAACATAAGCCCGCAAATTTTAATTAGTCAAAAAAAAAACCTTGCATTTCAGAAATATCACTTAAGAGAACAAAAGCAAATTGGTAAACTGAAACCATAATACCACTGAAGAAAGGGCTACTTAAAACACATAACAAGGAGAATACAAAATAGCAATCAATTCCAATTTTCTTATAAGGATGATTAAGTGAGCTTTGTCATGAACTCCAACTCACTTGACGACTACTGCCAGTAAAGGTCAAACTGGAAAAATCAAAACTACTAGCTATGAAGTCCAAAAGGAAGGCATGCATGATCTAGACTCATGGTGTAGTAACTTTGATTGATGGTGAAAATCCACGGTGGAACCTTGAACATACAAATGAACAATCACGTACGCATTAAAATTGTTACTAAAAACTAAATAAATCAAAATGAATATATATGCTTAAAGCAGAAAACTAATATGAATGAGAAAATTGGTAAGTGAACATGACTCACCGTAGTGTGGTTCTCAATCAGTCTTCACTCTTAGAGAGCCTTGATTTGGCAATAGCCAGATAGCCAAATATGATACCAAATACATCCAAGAACATTATTAAGCCAATTAACCAATTAAATTTTAATACATTAAATTCGAAATGCATACAATTTAACATTGCCTTAAATGGAGCTTAGTGAGTAACGGGAGCATTTAGAGTCTGTTTTATTTGTACTTTCATTTATATACGAGTCACTTACAAGATGTAGATACAAGATTCCAAATTGTATATATATCTCATCAACCATATGCTTACAAACCACCAAGTAAGGAATACCAATGAAAGCAATATTTTAATGAAGAGCATATAAAAAGCCAAGCTATCTCCATATAACTCAAATCTAACAATGCAATCGGGAAAACTAAGACTGAAGTTTCTGTTTACCTTTTGTCCACGACTCTAAGTATGTTTATTATCAATCGATTTCAATCTTCAAACTAGAAAATAAACTTAACGAATTTGAGTAAGTCATACAATTCATAAAATCAAGGCACAAAATTAAACTGATTTTTATTTTGGTGAGAGTAAAAAACTTAAACCAGAACAATAATGTCAACAAGTATAATGTCAATATCAGAAGAAAACTCTTAGATTTCAATAATTTAATGTTCTTTGATAATTATTTTCCCAGAAGAATTTCTCTTTGTAGAACATCTTATGCCACATATTTACCACAGTTACCTTGTAGATAGAATTTGAAATGAGATATATTTATGATGTCCCCATATGCTCTAATTTTTAAATGATAGAAAAGACTAATAGCATTGCACATGTGCAATGAGAAATTTCATAACTACAAACTAATGGACAAGATTTCACATGTCATCTATCCAGAAAATAAATTATTTTTCATCATAGAGTTAGAACAGCTTGAAACAGAAGAAGCAAGCATTTTTATAAGTTAAAACGGAAAGGAACAACATGGATGAATATAATTCCTCAACAGAGCAAATTAGCACACAATATCATTTGTATAAGAATGGATATTAGGCACATTGCATATGTAACAAAATATACAAGGAAATACTAAGGCACTTTAATTGATGAGATTATAACCCAAAGAAATCACAGGAAATCACATTGATACAAAATTAAAATGACTACAAATTAAAATTACTTAGACAGGACATGCATGAAGAAATTCACATAAACACAATAATCACTGTGTAGATTTGGCGAAGGATTTGGTGAAGAATAGGAATTTTGGACACAGGGAGTTTGTTTTGGAGTTGTTCGGTCGACCGCCGTGTAAGACCAGTCAACCGAATACGTGCACAGACCCTGGGTATGATTCAGGGCTTGGTGCGGTTGACCAGGTTGATCATCACAGTCGACCGCCAAACCATATAATCAAACCCGAGAGTCTGGAGTTGAGTGGCGTCGACCGTCACGGTAGACGCGCCAAACCTGTAATTTGTTTTTGGGTTTTTGTCGTAGTTGCGTCGACCGCGCGAGCTTTGGGCGGCCCCCCGCCAGTCGGGTCAGGCCCAGAATTTGGTTTCCTATTCTGATTTTGTTTTGAGTTTGGTATAAATACCAAACACGATTTAGGGTTTTGGGAGAGCAGTATTGGAGATATTTGGAGCACAGAAAAAGAGAGTTTTCTGGAGCTATTGGTTAGGGTTTTGTTTGAGAATTTAAGAGCTTTGTTGTTGAGATTAATTGGTGAGTTCGAGTGATTTGTAATCTCAGTTTGTACTCTTCTTCTCTATTAGTGAAAACCTCATCCCCTTCTTGCCCCGTGGACGTAGACAACTTACCGAACCACATAAAATTTGTTGTGTGTGTTTGTGCTGTTATTTTGGTTTGTTTGGTCTTCTCTCTCAGCTTTTGGTTTGGTTCCTCGAAGCACAACGATTGGTGCCTTTCGCGCACAATAAGTGGTATCAGAGTTCGGGCTACGTTTGGGCTAATTGGAGGAGTAGATCGCTGTGAAAGTTCGTCTAGGGCTTCGATTGGTGATAAATGTAAGATTTTTACTATTGTGGATCTTATCTACCATCGTGTGGGGGTGAGATCTTTCGGAGGCTCTTGTTAGGGTTTCAGTTGGAGGTAAAAATCTCTCTTTTTAGTTTGGATCTATTCTTCGTTTGTTCCGTATTGATTTGGTGGTGCTTTGAAAAAGATGGCCGAGAAAGAAGAAGTTGTGGATGATACTTCCGACGTGAAGACCGTCCAAATTTTAAATATCCACTCTATGAATATAGACGTGGAAAAGTTTAGTGGCATAAATAATTTTGGTCTTTGGAGATGCGAAGTCTTGAATGCGCTCAATGCGCAAAATTTAGAGGATCCATTGGAGTTGGACGAAAAACCGGACGACATTGAGGAAAAAATTTGAAAGAAGATGAATAGAACAGCGTGTGCTGTGATTAGATCTTGTTTGAGTCAAGATTTAAAATATGATATGATCAATGAGACTTCGACAAATAAGATTTGGGAGATCCTAGAGAGCAAGTATTTGACCAAGAGTGTGAAAAATCGCTTGCTTTTGAAGAGGATGCTTTACCGCTTCCAATTGAAGAAAGAAACCTCCATTGATGATCACATGAACAACTACACGAAGCTTCTTACAGATTTGACAAATGTAGATGTGATGATTGAAGATGAGGACAATGTGTTGTTATTGTTGAGTTCCTTGCCCGACGAGGAATATGAGACCTTCGTCCTTACTCTTATTAATGAAAAAGCATCTCTTTCGTATAGTGAGGTCATCGCTGCACTTGTGAATAATCAGCTTCGGAAGAAAGATAATGAGACTTCAATTGAGCCAGTAGCGGGGGCATTGATCGCAAAAGCAAAGAGTCCAAATCGAGATAGGAGATCACAGTCTAGAGGAGCACACCCTGCAGTAAGTAAGAATCAGTGTGTCTTTTGTAAAGAAGATGGACATTGGAAAGCTGAATATCCGAAGTTGACAGATCGAGCCGGGAAGAATAAGGAAAAAGCTATACAAGCTTCAGAGGTGAATGTTTCCAAAGCTAGTGGCGACAATTCAGATTCGGATTCTTCGAGCTACTCGTGGCCTGCACTACCGTTAGTTTGTGTTGCTGACTCTACAGAGTGGATGTTGGATTCGGGTGCTTCTTACCATATTTGTCCTAGGAGGGATTGTTCTCTAGTTTTGAGGAGTTAGAAAGAAGGGATATCGTACTCATGGGTAATGATTATGAATGCTCTATTGGTGGTATCGGTACCGTTCGTATTAAGATATGTGACGGGGTGATTCGGGAGTTGGATGAAGTGAGGTTTGTTCCGCAATTGAAGAAGAACATTATTTTACTTGGAGTTTTGGAGGCAGCAGGCTATCGGGTGACCTTAAAGGATGCATCTTTGAAGATCATATTTAGGTTCATGATTGTGATGAAGGACGTCAGGAGGAAGAATTTATACTATTTGATTAGGAGCACGGTGATTGATAGAGAGTTGACGACCTCTTTGGATTTGGCTAGACTGTGGCGTTTGTTAAGACTGGGTTATTCGATTATTGGTGTCGTGCATGGATTGTTAAGGAGTGCTTTGACCTGCAGATTAAAGTTCTGTGAGCACATTGGTATGAGCAAGGAGACCGATGTGGAGTTTAGCACTTCTATTCACCGAGCAAGGGGTCTTCTAGGTGATGTTCATTCAGGTATTTGGGGACCTTCCAGGGAGACATCATTAGGAGATAATCAGTATTTGGTTTCCTATGTTAGGGACTATTTTAGGCATTTGTGGGTTACAATCAAGTCTCGTTGGTAGGAAGTCCTAGTAGTCAACAACATATAGAGGAAGTGTATTGGTAGAAAGATAACATGTTGTTCTGTTTTTTATAGAGGTTTTTTTCTGCGTTTATGCCGAGCTCATGACAGTTTGAGACTCTTCATTAGAGAGGAAACATTGGGGTGACAAGATGAGGTTACAGATTTGATGGGTCGTTCCTTGCTGGAGGAGGATCGGTGTTTGATGTCGAGCATTGGTTTGCAGAGGAGTTCTGGTGTTGAGGCTTTGACATATTGAAGTCATCTTATTTATAGATTGTCGACTACTACGTTTGGAGTATTTGGATCTGGTGGAGCTGCTTCAGATTTTGAGTTGCTTCGGATATTTAGTTGCCCAGCATATGATCACATCGAAAATGTGAGATTTGATCCGAGTGCACATTTGGGATTCAGAGGCGTGTTTGGTTATCAGTTGTTGGATTCTGATTTTGTTTTGAACAGGTATATCATATTTTACTCTCGGTAGGTGGAGAGTGTTAATCAGATCGTTGGGATATCATAGCGGGTGAAGGGTGATGTTGCTCTACGTTGGATGGAGATTACTCCACATACCTTAAATCATATTACATCGTTTAGGATTCTAGCTGAGGTGACACAGTTTGGGGATCATATTGATGTGGATGCAGATAATGAGTTGGTTGATTCGAGTACAACTGGTGGACATAGTTCAAATTTTGATATAACCGTTGGTTTACCTCAGATGAAGGTGTTTGGATCGTTTTACTTTGGGGCCATTAGGAGAGCTATCAGTTGCAGATTTATTGGTGATGTTGGAGAAGAGTTGAGAACTCTTCTCGTTGATTGAGGGCCTTTGGAGGCCATTTGGTGAACTACGTTAAGGTTTGATTCCTTGGGAAGAGGATATGTAGGCAGTCATTTTATGATGCAACCAGTTTGGTGAGTTGATACTGATGTTTGGTGAGTGATCACATTCTCATTTGGGTCTCGATTTGTTGTGGATTGAGTCCATTATCGCGGATTTGTTCCACTTCGTACTGGACGTAACAAGTGAGACGTTTGATTGGTATTGGTGTCGACTTAGTTTTGGGAAAACTTCACCGAGGTGGAAAATTATAGATTTGACGAAGGATTTGATGAAGAACAGGAATTTTGGACACAGGGAGTTGGTTTTGGAGTTGTTCGGTCGACCGCGGAGCAAGACCGGTCGACTGAATACGTGCACAGACCCTGGGTATGATTTAGGGCTTGGTGCATAGATCGTCGCGATCGACCACCAAACCTTGTAATCAAACCCGAGAGTCTGGAGTTTGGTGCGGTCGACTGCCGCGATCGACCGTCAAACCCGGTAAATGTTTTATGGGTTTTGTCATTAGTCGCGGTCAACCGCGAGCTTTCTGCGATCGACCGCCAGTCGGGTCTGGCCCAAAATTTGGTTTCCTGTTCTGATTTGGTTTCGAGTTTGGTATAAATATCAAACACGATTTATAGTTTTGGGAGAGCAGTATTTGGGATATTTGGAGCACAGAAAAAGAGAGTTTTCTAGAGCTATTGGTTAGGGTTTTGTTTAAGAGATTAGGAGCTTTGTTTGTGAGATTAATTGGTGAGTTTGAGTGATTTGTAATCTTAGTTTGTACTCTTCTTCTCTATTAGTGAAAACCTCATCCTCTTCTTGTCCCGTAAATGTAGGCAACTTGCCGAACCACATAAAATTCGTTGTTTGTGTTTGTGCCGTTATTTTGGTTTGTTTGGTCTTCTCTCTCGGCATTTGGTTTGGTTCCTCAAAGCACAACAATTGGCTTCTGCGCACAACACGCTGAAAATAAATGGACAGATTACAGATCATAAAAAGCGCTACTGTTTTGAGAAAGTTAAACAAAGAAAAGTTAAATAAATAAACAACCAAAAACCCAAAAATTATGGGCTAAAGCCTAATTGTGTAAATAACCAACAAAGTGGAAACCATAGTATTTGCTAGTTGATCAACATGATGCACGGATAATTTCCCAAACTTCTCAAATTTTAATATTTTTACCTCAATCCACTAGGTGAAGCCACATGCGAGATCATATCATTCCACCTCCAATCAATTTTGGTGGGTGAAGAGGCAGCAGTGACTGGGTCTGGGGGATGGGGCGATAAAGGGGAAGTGAGGGAGGAGAGGGAATTGGGTCACACACGTAGAGGATGATGATTTATAAAGGGGAAGAGAGAAAGGAGAGGGAATCGGATCATCCGTTGCGAGGGAGGAATTGAATATTTTATTTGGATTTCGACGGTGCTTAATCGATGAAGCGCCCACGTGTTTCGGTTATGCGCCTAGTAGAGCGTGAGAGAATTTCGAGGATTTTTTTTCTTTTCTTTTCTTTTATTTTTTTTGGGTAGTGAATGAAATATTGCAACCCATCATATTGATTTATTTGGCATAGAATAACTGACATAATAATCAACAATATTGTTTAGAAAATATCATCAAACGCCTTACAAATATTTATACCAAAGTATGTGAGGTGATACACAGATAGTGATTGGATCCTAACAAAAATTAAACTAGAAATAAAAAAATAAA